TGATGATGTGGGTGGTGGAGGATGAGGAGAACACAAAGTAGAATTGTTCAGAGGCGAGGAGTGGATGCATCATGCATCCCAATCATTGGAGGGAATGAAAGGTGGGCGAGGCCGGTTGAGAGAGGGAGCAAGATGTGATGAAAGACAGAGGTGAGTGAGGAGTGGTAGCAAGGTGAATGAAAGGCAGGAAAGAAAAGAACACAGCGACCAAGAGGCACAATGAAAGGGAAAGTGAGGGTTGAAAGGACGGCTGGACCACAGGGCACAAGGTGACAGTTCACAGTTTTGGGGTCAACGGACAGGGCTGCATTGGTGGGAGGCAGTCATGGAGAGAGTAGGAGGAGAGGCAGAACAGGCAGAAGAGTGGGAGAAGGCAAGACGGGTATGTGAGGGGGTGTGGTGTGAGGAGTCATTTTCATAGGGTGTTGGGATCCAAGACAATGTGGTGAGTGGCACCACACGAGGGATGGGGCACAGCATCTTGATGGAAGGGATGTTGAGGCCCGAGTGATAACAAAGGGATGACAGAGAGGAAGGGAAGTGGAAGGGAGAGATAGAGAGAGGAACAACTGAGACAAGAGAGGGAGGGATGTGAACACAATGTGAACAGGAGAGATGGCAGCATGTGGGTGTGTGAGACAGCAGGGGGTGACATGACTTACCTGGTCAAGAACTGGTTTCAACCAGTCATCTTCCAGTTTCAGTTGAGACTGGTCTGAACTGGTCAAATGACTGCAAATGACCATGTGTAACTGGTCATGTGCAGTCCAGTCCAGTTTTTTCAGGATTGGACAAACTGGCAGGCAGTCATGGTCATGGTCACACCAAAGTCGTGGGAAAACTGGACTTGACTGGACTTTGAAGCACTAGCTGCTGCACACTTGCACTTCACATGACCAGGGCAACCCCTCTCCGTATGGCAATGTGAGGGCAAAGTTGATGTGCTTTTGGGAGTCAAGGCAGACCACAAACAAGGGGACATTTATGATTTTCTTTCCTACTCTGTAGTGGTGCATGTGAAACAATCAGACCATTACCCAATGAGCCAAGGATGTTGGGAACAAGCCACACCAGATGTGACGTTGTCTGATCAAAACTCATGCATGGTGGATGCTCTTCACAAGGCCAAGCTTGAATACCTGTGTTTGCAGGCAGCATTCCAAGAAGTCTTTGATCTTAAGAGCAAACATGAAATCAAGTCACATGTGCACATCAGCATGCTCAATAAGACACACAAGCTGATGGATGAGCCCATTTCCCTAGAACAGACATTTTGGGTCTTTGTCATTGAGCTTGAGCAGCTCACAAGCGGCATGACAGATTTTTGAGAGAATAAGGGTGAGATGCCAGATCTCACACTTGTTGTGGAGCCCATACTCACCATTTCACACACACATGCAGATTGGCACCCAAAAATCAAAACCTCAAGAACTAATCATTAGACACCAACTCTTGAACTGCACCTAGATACAGTACATGAGATCCCACTGTCCAAGTTTCAAGGCAATCTATTGAGAAATGGTTGAGATATGGCAGTTCAAAATTTTGCACTCAGATTGCACCCAAAAATCAAAACTTCAAGAACTACAAATTAGACCCCAACTCTTGGGCTGCACATAGATACAGTATATGAGATCCCACTGTCAAAGTTTCAAGTCAATCAATTGAGAAACAGTTGAGATATGGCAGTTCAAAGTTTTGCACTCATGTCAGCACCCAAAAATCAACATGTCAAGAACTGGATATTAGGCTCCCATATTTTAGCTGCACCTAGATACAGTATATAAGGTTCTACTGTCAAAGTTTCAAGGCAATCTGTTGAGAGACTGTTGAGATATAGCAGTTTTAATTTCACACTTGAAATGACATCCAAAAATGGCAAGTGCAAGGTCACATGAAAACAACAGTACTAACCCTGCCATGTAGTTCGGACAGGTACCCTTGTTCGGACACTGGAGATCTCTCCCTCGATCCAAGCTCAATCAGCATAAAAATTCTCATAGCACTTATTATACTGTATCTCAATGTATCCAATAGATTTTTTTGCTGAATGCCATTGTGGTTTGTTGAGATCAAGAAAATAGCAGTTGGTCACGCCTGCCGACCAATGCCGCATCGGAGTTTCTATGGCTCCAAAATAGGTTAGATACACTTGCTGGTCGGAATTACGTGTGGAACCGCGATGGACGTGATGCGCCATTGCTTTCATCCTTCGCCACCGACCGTCACCGACTGCATGCCCACACTACCACCCCGCGCCCAATGACAAGATCTTGACTGCCTCACCAAGCCCTCGCCACTTCGTCCAGCCCAGCCTTCGCCACCGACTACGCACGCACGCCACAACCCACTCGACGTGATCGCGTCGCAGGTCCTTCGCCACCACCTCGACCGCCTTGGCCAGCCTCAAATTCCCTTTCAAATTCCCTTTCATCACTTCCCTTCCCTTTGTTCTTCATTCCTGTACATAAAACACTTAGCTACTCTGTAGTAAAACAGTTCAGAATAAGAATATTTTCTTTCTCCCCTCTCATCTGTCTGTCTTTGCCTGAATCCAAACGACCCTGCACAATACCGGCTCTCTCCCTTTCTTTCTCTCACCTCTGGTCCCTCGGTCGATGTCCACTTACTGGTCCAACAGCCCTGCTCTTTCTCACTCATGCGTCCCCGGACACACCAAAGCGGAGTTGGTGCATGGTGCAGAAGCACTTTGGTCTCATTCAGCTTGAGTAAAGGTGCCGCACTCCCATGACCAGGGCTGTAGCCGTGACCGTGCTCATTGCCATCGTGGGCACATTGGGGGAAAGAAAGGTGGCCGACATCAACTCTCTGAGAGATAAGTGCAGATTCCCCACAGCGAGATCGGGGGGAGGTAGGGGCCGAGCGGAGTTACATCTTGGCTTGGCGGAGTTACAAACAAGCCCGTGACATGTGTGACTGTCCGAACAAGGGTGCCCGTCCGAACTACATGGCAGGGTTAGTAATAATAAGATAACTACTTACCCTTTTCCCCTACCAAAATGAAAAAGAAATGTTATTGTGTTTCTGACTGATTAAGTGGTGCACCATCCACTGGGCCACCTGATACAGTAGTTCTCACTGCCCAAATCAACATCACAGACATTAATATATTCAGAAAGTTCCCTGTGGCCAACTTGTCAGGGTGGCCAACTACCTGATACAGTAAGTGCAAGGTCACGTCAAACAACAAATAAGTATGGTGTTTTAGGTTGTCATGGCAACACGGCTGATGTTATGTAATCAATTTGCGTGGCGTCATCCCACGGAATCCCTAGTTTCACCGCATATTTCAAGTTAAGACTGGTTCGAAATTTCGAAAGTGGTGGATATCTTTCTCAACCTCCCCTCCCATCATTCTCTCTCGTCACGAGATCATGTCCGGTTATTCTTCCATTTTCTCCTCCGGTCTTCTTGCTTCACCGCGGCCAGATAGGCACATCAACCGTGTAGATTACTCAATTTCCCCATGGCCCGATAGCCCCATAAACATCGGCAGCGATGCTGACACGACGCCTACAAAACTGAGTGCGGTGTCGATCCCCTCTTCCGAGGAGGCAATGAACTACTTCATGCCGCGCAGTCTTGACTCAAGTAACGCGAGTGTGACGACCTCTGTGCTTGTGGGTGTTCCGCATTTGCGGCGGCGGCGGAGTAGCCTTAGCATTGCAAACAATGGGATGAGTACTGTCAAGAGCCCGCAGCGCAATGCTGGCAACGCCCTTCAGCGCAATACTCTTATGGGTTCCAGTGGCCGCGTTCGCAGCGGAAGCATTGATGCTGGCCCGGCAGACATTCCGCCCATTGATGAGGTTGGCCATGGGCTGGTCCCGAACAAGACAGGCGGTGGACGTGGACGTTCTAGAAGTGGAAGCATGGGTGGTGCGATGCGGTAAGCAGACCTTGATCCTTCGGTCGTACAAAGGTTGATGTTGGCCATCTGTGCTTGTTACCAATTTTAGGCTACGTCGTTCACTACGCAAGCCTCCTTCCATTCCTCCACCAACCACTCCCCTGCCGCCACTTCCTATGTCGGCTGCCGTGAAGGAGGCTATGCACCGCCTTCCGCTTGTGCAAACTGTGGAGAACTTTGCCCCATTCACTCCTACGCTAAACCCGCACACGAACTCATCCATGTCCCTCACGCTCACTTCTGTCGATCTCACGAGCAATTTGAAGATCAGAGCCACAATGGGTACTACCTCCCCGTCTTCCAGTTCGCTGGGAGAATCGTCTGTATTTGGTGCCTTTGGGGCGCGGATGAAGGAAAACTGACGGGCGGATTGCCTGAAAGACCACCTCTTTCATGTTTCATTCACTTTCCTGGACGTATAGCTGCTCTCTATTTATCAGGCCTTCACGGCTCCTCTCCTGCTTACTTCCCCCCTTGGTTTAAGTTTAGATCTTCACTAATGCTTTCTGCATTCACCGTATTTGAGCTAGGCCAGGTATCCGTATCCAGCATCGACTGGGCATCGGTTGTGCTGCGTTTAGCAATTTCCTCCCCGAGTGATGTTTCACACGTCGATTTATATGTAACTGCAGTTGATTTATATACATCACACCTTGAATAATGGTTTAGTTGTCACTTTGGGGTAGCATCTTGCTTTCCAACGTGTTCTTCATGAGATGTACGTTATTCGAGATGGGTGCGAGAAGTACAGTGGTAGGTTACCCAGAGGTTGGACAGAACATGTAGGTATATGAACAATAAAGATTGAAATTTCTTTCAACCTGGGGGTGAGTGTGATTGATGGGAGTCCACCCTGTTTTTTTGGTGTCATTTGATGTTTCCCCTTTCTCGGATTTTTATGTCGGAGAGGAGGATGTCACGCACAATGTTAGAGTTTGAGTTGTTTGATTGGCGCTTCAAATCTGCATATCACATGTGTTCCTCAGTAGATTCCGACTACCTACAGTAAGGCCAATGGTGGCAGGCGGCATTGACAGGCGCAGGCGGCAAAGCGGGAATAAAAATGCATTGTCCCCGAGCGGATTCGAGCCGCTGGCTTCACGGATTTGTGGGTGAGAAAGCCCTGGTGACCACAACGTGATGATTTAACCACTAATCGACGGGGACTTGATAATATTTTCCGAATTGGACGAACTAATTCAATGGGAGTAGTAGAGTACCGTCACGAGAAAGGCAGCCACTTTTCGCTAGCTGTCACCTTCACTTGTAGTGCAGTACGTCCGCTCCGCCCCACATTCGTAGGACAGTCTCTAGCAACACCCTTACTGCAGCATCACTGATGTGCAGGTTAGTCTTCGGTTGTCCCACTCACAACGTACCATACCTGCCCGCTCCGATTCTCCAGAGTCCAAGATGTAGTTTCTACTTTCTCAAATCATAAGCAAAAGGCTGGTGGACTCGAGTGCTACCTCTACACCGGCCTGTCAGTGGTACAGGTATCTCCGTCTTGCAATCTGACTTCTTCCCCTTTGCAGACGGTGACTGGTTGCCATCTGGCTTCGGTGCCCTGGTTGCGTGGGCCTTCCTCTTTACGCCTCCGATCGTGGCGGGTCACATTGCCTGGCTATTTCACAAGAAATGGGAGAGTCGGCTCAATCTCTGATTTCGCCTCGGCCGGTTCTCAGACCCAGACGCTCGCTGTAGTCGTGCAAGCCACCACCGCACCATCGCTGCTTACATTGCAACAGGCTTGCATGTTTCCGCAGTAGCACTATACGTAGGGAACATCCTAATATTTGCCAAAATATGCTGCTTTGTCCATTCCTATACGACATGCTTGTACTATATGCTTGGACTTCGAGACACTTTTGTTCGCCTCGCCGGATCAATTCCGAGAACGACTCTGGATGGCATGGTGCGTGGCATGACAACATTGCATATTCTCGTCACTTAGCTCACTGACTATGTGGGTTTTCACACAGGTGAGAGCGATACTCTCACTGTTGATATCGAAGCCAAATGTTAGTACCGGACTGAGACTAGAGGTCGTTCTACGTAAGATGGGTGCTTTGAAGTAAACCGTCTTTGTTTGGCTTACTCGTAGCCCAGGAGTGCATTGATATTGGTATGCATGCGGTCATGACCGTGAGAAGATTAAGTGAAGGGCGAGGGACGTGAAGTGAAAAACCCTTGAGCCTCAACTCAGAGTTCATTTCATCTTTGTCCTCCTTAACCAAGTTTGTCTACTCTTTTAATTTCTTCCATCGTGAGTACCCGCTGTCGACATTGACCAAGTCGAAGTTCCTACACCCTAACGTCCTACTTGTGAAAGGTGTATGCGCGAAGTCATCTCTGTGCATGTCGGACAGGCTGGAGTGCAGATCGGGAATGCCTGCTGTAAGCTGTCCTGGTGATGACCATGTCTGCTTAATTGCATGCATCCTACAGGGGAGCTGTACACTGCTGAGCATGGGCTGGGCGTGAGTTTAAAAGTCTAGTCACCTCTCGCTCACGAATCTGACTCTTTGCTGTCTCAAGCCAGATGGGCACCTTCAAGACAGCGACATTGTACGAGGGAATGGTGCCGATGGCTTCAGCACATTCTTTTCTGAGACATCCTCGGGGAAATATGTTCCGCGCTCTCTTTATATCGACCTTGAACCGAATGTCATTGACGAAGTCCGAATGGGCAAGTACCGGGAGCTCTTCCACCCAGAGACGATGATCACTGGGAAGGAGGACGCAGCGAGTAATTGTAAGCATACGCGGCCTCTTCTCTCCTGATACGACAGGTCTCTGATTGGGTTGACAGATGCTCGGGGTCATTATACAGTCGGAAAAGAGAAGATCGACGTCATCCTCGATAAGGTTCGGCGTCTCGCGGATAACTGCAGTGGCCTCCAAGGATTCTTTGTTTTCCACTCGTTCGGTGGCGGTACCGGCTCGGGTCTCGGCGCTCTCTTACTGGAGCATCTCTCCACCGATTATGGGAAGAAGTCGAAACTGGAGTTTTGCGTGTATCCGGCTCCTCAGCTTGCAAACTCTGTCGTCGAACCGTACAACTCGGTGCTGACGACCCACACAACCTTGGAGCACGCCGACTGTTCCTTTATGGTGAGATGATCGCCATTCTATCCGAACCCCCTGATAGTCAGCCATTCTGAACGTTTCAGGTTGACAACGAAGCAATCTTCGGGATCTGCAAGAAGCATCTCGGGATTTCCCAGCCAAGCTTCACCAATTTGAATCGACTGATTGCTCAGGTCGTCTCCTCGATCACGGTCTCTCTTCGCTTTGCCGGTTCTTTGAATGTCGATCTGAATGAATTCCAAACGAATCTTGTCCCGTTTGTCTTTGTATAAATATTTTCCAACTTATCTTTGTTGACGGACATTCCTTAAATGGCAGATTTCCGCGCATTCATTTCCCTCTCGCGACGCTCTCTCCGGTCGTACCCGTGGATCGTGTCCAACACGAGATGAACGACGTGGCAACCATAACTGCCGCTTGCTTCCAGCGTGGCAGCCAGATGATCAACTGCGATCCGATGGAGGGGAAATACAGTGCGTCCTTCCTCTTTAACTACTGCATCCGCAGACCCAGTCTTGTCAACCGATGATCACAGTGGCCTGTGCGTTACTCTACCGTGGTGACGTCATCTCTAAGGACGTCAACGCCGCCGTTGCACAGTTGAAGACTCGTCGCACCATCCGATTTGTTGACTGGTGTCCGACGGGTTTCAAGATCGGCATATCCAACGAACCACCAGCACACATCCCCGACGGTGATCTCGCCCGTGTGGTCAGGAGCGTCTGTGTGCTTTCTAATACGACTGCTATCTCTGACGCGTGGACCCGGCTGGACCGTAAATTTGACCTGCTGTACTCTAAGCGGGCTTTCGTGCACTGGTATGTCGGTGAGGGCATGGAAGAGGGCGAGTTCTCTGAAGCTAGGGAGGATCTTGCAGCCCTCGAAAAGGACTACGAAGAAGTGGGGGTTGACTCGGCGGATGCAGAAGACGAAGGAGAGTACTAGGTGCATGCCATCGTGCCTTTCAGTTATTACCGTTGTCATTGTCTCTGCCAACGTATTCAGAAATTCGTCACGTCGATCCCTGCGTATCGCATCGCACGATGCACGGATGATTGATTCATCACGTGGTATGATTTGGATCTAATCTTATCTTGCATTGCTTGCGCGCTTTTATTTGATTCAATTTTCAACAACCTTTCACGACGGACAGGAATGGATAAGTCCAGTCCACTAAAACTCAACTCAGTGGTCAATAAAGGTGAAATATATTGACCACTGAATTGACTCAGCTCAGATTACAAATTATTTTAAAACAATTGATTGATTTGTTGCCCTCTCCTCATGCATCGCATTATTGTAAATATGTCAACCCAAACAATTAGAACTTAGTCAAATGCTTAAGAGAGGGCAGCTCAGTGCCCAAGTTATGTAACCTAAGATGCAACATGAGTCGCCCCAATCACCAGGGGGATCATATACACTTAATTTGCCCGATCAATTTAGCCTTAGCAGACTCGGATAAACTTAACACAATGGCGTATGTTAATACATGGATTTATATTGAATAAATCGAGACATAAAGTGCATCCACAAATATGACACCAAATTTTAAATAGGAACGGTCTACTCATTACATGGCAATAATCGGCCGATGGGGATCAATCGCACCCGATGGGGATCAATCGCCTCGATGACAGAGACTGACCACACAGATTAAACTCAATGCGAAGATCTGGGCTTTACATTTTGTTACAATTTTACTCGAGCCAAATAATATAGTTAGCATTCTTATAATTGAATCTTGTTTGTATTTTCCCACTAAGAACCAAGTCTGTGTTGAAGGCAGCGGGCGGTGGCTTGCTGAGTTCGCGAAAACACACACAAAAGAAGGGACAAAACAGGTCTCTTGTTCCAAGGCGTAACTAGAGTTTCTACATACGAGACGCGATCTATGAGAGAGGGGGATATTGGGGGATTGGGGAGACAGAAAGACGCGAGTTGGGAGTGCGATACATGGATGTGGAACAAGACGAGCCAGAGCGATGAGCTGCGATGAAAGAGGGTCGAGAGCTGGCTGGGCAGCGGAGGTGGAACCGGTACGTGATGAAAGAGAGTCGAGAGCAATGACGCAGGGCTGGAATGGGATGCCGCCTTACAGCGGGACACTGTGTGACGACGTACTAAAGAATTACCTTGGACATGGACAGCCTTGCGAGACAGCTGATGAGCTATACCTGGAAAGTGAAGATCCTTTTGGTGGATATTCGTCCTCTACGCTTTTTGTTGAATGATAGACCCTTTGCTACAGAACTATCATCATCTTTAGCCTTGCACTTGTGGCAGCCCCTGCTGAACGTTGGATCATGACCAACGGATGTTCTTTGATAGGCTGCCGTCATTGTCTGACCAATTTTTGGATTCCAGGTTCCGTGTTATCAGATTCAAGACCCATTCAGAAGAACAAAGCTTCTCGTGAGCGTCCTTGACCTCCGTCCGGACATTCCTCTCCGCTTGAGGTTCGGGCATAATTGATTTTGGGTTAATATCATCATAGAAGGTTTTAAGAAGGGTGCGCAACTCTTCAATGATCTGGTGGCATGGTTCCGGGACAAAACCAAACAAATCATGGGTGAAGTATTAGTTTGTGTAGGAAAGATAGCTTTCCGTCACCGCCCCGGATAACACCATCTTCATCCACGTCTCTGTATCCATCAAATACGTGTTGCATATCTTGTGATTGGCCCTCGATTCGCAGAATGTTGGCATTTCATGACAATATAAATAAGAACCCAGTAAAAGGATTCAATATCATCTGAAATTTGATGAGATCGAGCGTGAGGGTGTAATAAAAGTCCTGTTGATATGAACTGCCATGTACCCTGAACACGAAGTCAATTTGCCGTGCATAGGGGATAAACAGATCATACCGTGCGGGAGTGTTGTCTCTGCCTGGGTCACATCCATCCTCTTGGACATGTCCCAGTCTGATCAATAAACCTGATCGATCTGGGGCAATCAGAATGTTTCCTGTGCTCACATCCTGATGTAAAATTTTTGCTTTGTCGTATGCGTCCGTATGAGCTGTTCCAAATTGTCAATCAACAAACTTAAACATAAGGCCAATCCTCACCGAT